TCTTCAATCACAAATTATGGGGTGGCATTCCAGGTAAATCCGGTGAATTTAAAAACTCGGCAGGATAGTTGACAACTTCATCAGGATCAACAACAGTGTCAATCGATTTGAATGTAATTTCACTACCAGGCAATAATTGTTATACTTTAAAGTTGATTGCGTCAACATCTAAATTTTTTGCGGCTAAAATAGCTTTCTCACGTAGCCATGCATGATTAGTATAATTATGTGGCAAATCTGGAAAGATATTTTTTATTAACTCCTCTTTGGTAGGCACCATGTTGCAAAAATTCTGAGGGAGTCGAATATATTGTGTACCTTCATACAATTGAATTTTACCATTGCCAATGTCTAAGAGTTGTTCAGAGAATCTTGACTCTAATGGATCATTTTGAAGTTGAACTCCCATATTAAGAGTAAGGCATAATTTACTGACACTTCGCCACAGATAAGCTTCTTTCAAACATGCGTATATTTCGTCCGCATATGTCGCACGTGGAATGACGGGTAATGTTTGTCTGAAATCACCTGACAGCAGCAGTAGAGCACCACCAAAAAGTTGAGTATTATCTTTGATATCTTTTAGGGCCCTGTCGAGAGCTTCAAGCGAATGCTTGTGGGCCATTGTACATTCATCCCAGATAATAATTTTACATTTTCTCAAAACTTCAGCCAAGCCTGAATGCATCTTTATGTTACACATTGCTTCGGGATTGGTATGAATATTCAAAGGTAATTTAAGTGCCGAATGCGCTGTCCGTCCACCATCAAGTAAGGTTGCTGCAATGCCTGATGAAGCAATTGCCAATGCAATATGATTTTGAGATCGAATGCGCGCAAGTATTAGTGAGATGAGGAATGTTTTACCAGTGCCACCTGGTGCGTCCAGAAAAAAATTCCACCTTGTTGTGCTGCAATTGACACGTTAATTTGATCATATATATTTCGTTGCTCAGCAGTAAGCAATCGTTCATTGTTAGCAATCATTCATTGTTAGTCATATCGAACTGGTGTTCACGTTGAACGTCGTTGTTGATGGTATCTGCTGCTTGGCGGATTGGCGCTGGCATGCCAAAATTTATGAGCGGCATGTTCGAAATAAGAATACAAATATCCTCAATCGTTATTAATGCCTCGTTATATATTTCTGCGGAGAATTCAGTACTGAGATTTTGATTAGTAATTCTAATCCTATGCTAAATATCCTTACTCATTGAGTCTTTATATTTATTCCACAGCGCAAATGCTTCAGACGGAAAACACGTTGTCAATATTATTGAAAATAATTGACGAATTTGCTGTGGAGATGAGCCTAGTGCTGCATCTGCAAGTGTGAGGTCCCAATGGTTATCATCCTCCAATAAATGTAACTCTCGACACGCATCAAAGAAAGTGCCGTATAAAGTACCGTTGACTTTTCGCAAGTATTGGAAGGATGTCGGTCCAGGAAATTTAACCAATAACAAACGCAGAAAAAAGCATTCGCGTTGCTTAGGATGAACTGTATATAATCGTCCTAATGAATTTGTCATAACTATGTCGGCAAATCCTGGGACTGGAGTGCGTCGTTTCCGTGGTTTCCAACTTTTTGAATGTTTATTCCATGTAAAAAATTTAGGAACATCAGTATACATTAATGACTTTGCAAATTCACCAACAATATCTTGTCGATTACAAAGGTTGAAAAATTCAGTAAGAGTTATTTTCGGTGCTGTTAAAGCTTGATGTAGTGCATTCTGTTCTGTGAAATAAACACGCTGTTCATTTTCAAGATGCACAGCCAAATGTACAACAGCAGGATCCCTTTCATGTATAGGAAATGTAAAAATTCGCCAAATAGCTTCATTACTACTTATGTATCGTCCCATTTGATAATGTGTTATTTCGTCATTCTTATTTACATTTTGAACAGCAAATATAGCTTTATCACTGCCCTTATGAACGTACTTACAAATGTACTTGATAGACTTCACCGAACTGCATAACTCAACGTTTATGTGTGCTTTATAGGTTTTGCACAGCAATGGTGAGTATGGAACCACCCAGCGATTATCGATGTCAACTCTTACACCGTTTGATAGACGCAATTCATATGATTGACCGCCATTGTCTACATCTCGTACGACGGTAAGATGGATAACCATCGATATTGGTGATAGTGTCAGTTTGACATGGTTTAGGAAAACGTTTCGTACATTTTCCATTATCCATGCATGGTGACATCATGTTGAGAGAACCACATGGACCATGGATCATATTAGTAGTCACAATGTCAAAAAATTCTTGATCAACATTCGGATTTGGAATTTCCGCTGAAAAAATTTTGTAAATTTCTTCTGGGCGTACTTTGTCCACAAACCAAATCAAAATATGCGCATGAGGTAAACCTCATTTTCGCCATTCAACAGAATAAAGCCAACATCGTGTTTCACCAAATACCGAGTGATAAGTAATCAATTTCATCAGAGATTTCAATTTTTGTTTGAACACACGTGCAATGATATCATGGTGATGCATCGATGTTTGACCTGATAACAGCAAATTTTTAATTTTATCCCAGTCTGGATTACACATAAATGTGATAAAAAGATCTGGTCCGCCGTAAGCGCGTACGTAAGTCATGGCGTCTTGAATATATTCTTGCATATGACGCGGCCTGCCAATGTATGATGATGGAAGAATATATACGGTACCGATGTTGTTGATATCATTCTTTGCATCTACGTTACCGATTATGGCGTCACGCAAATGAATGTACTCCTCAGAACGAAGTTTCGCTTGATTAAATTTTATAAAACGCAATCTCTCACTTTCGATTTTTACATACATATCAACAATGTACTGATGAAATAGCTGTCTGCATCGGAGAATGTTATTATCTTCATTTTTACGAATCATCAACCGGTATGCGTAGAAGTTCATCGCACTAACTTTCTTGATTAGTTCTTCACCTGTAAAAAAAAACTATTTATAAGAAAAACAGAAATAATTGGTTAAAAAAAAATTCTAAAATAATCTATAAGTTGAGCTTGTTGGATTCCTTTGTTTAATATTTAAATGATATCTATCTTCTCCTTCCCAAAATATCAACGGATATTGCAGTGCGTCGTAAGAACGATGATTGTCTTGAATTATTTGTATTGTATTATCTCTGCGTTGTATGCGAATATCTCGACGTTCACATGGGTCACCAGCCACAACAACTGCAACTTCATTAACAGTTGGAACATTATATGCGCCTGCGTGCTCTCCATAGGGCACTTTGTCTGCTTTAATAACATTGGCGTAGTTGTCGTTTTGCAGTCTGTTGGAAAGAGTCTTGAACAATTGTATCAAATGGTTATGGTTTTGCAAGAACGTTTCCAAAATGTCCACAATTTCTCGTTCCTCCATCTGCTCTATATGGTTGTATACGCCTCGTGTATGATTTTGTTGCTCCTCATCGACCATAAAGTAAATTTGTAAGAATTTTGGATGGACTTTAGGCATTGGAAGCAATGAACCAATTTGGTGGTACACTTGAACTTGAATATTAAATGTAGATTCAAAATTACGACCATCATCATTATGAACAATTTGTGTTGTTCCAAATGATGTCATTTGAAAGCAAGAATTGAATTTACGAATTTTCCGCAAAAACAATTTCGATTGAGTTGCGGTTCCAGCTAATAATGTTTTCAAAGGTTCCGGTGGTGGATTTAACGGTGGAAGTGAAATTTTTCCAGTTGCGCAACATAAACCAGCTGATTAACCTTTGTACTTTAAAGCATGACAATATTGGCACTCGTTGTCCATACTACCGATTAAGATTAATGCATGTGACGAATAGTCTATTTCAGGTTCATATTCAAACGCAAGACGATTAAGTGATGCTCGTATCAATGCTCGATTATCTTGCATTCGCTGTTGGTTACGTTTACGTTCTCTGTTTTCGTTGGTCGCTCGTTGGCGTGTCTTAATGCATTTGCACGAAGACGTTGATTGCGTAGCTCTGAATTTTCATTTTCACGTGAATATGCAACTTGATTTCTTGAATTCACATTATCCGTCAAGTGTTCTTCAACTGTTCTATTCAATCGATGATCATGGACCAATTGTGCGTTTCGAGTACGTCGACCAATATTTCTTGCTCTTCCACGAAGACGTGGCATTTTCTTTGTTTAACAAAATACTGTAAAATAGTACATAAAAAATATGAGTAATTTTTTGAAAATGATATTTTAATTAAGTAACAGGACTGAAAAGATTTATTGTACCAAATTTTAGATAAAAAATGTGTAATTTTATTTCTTTTTGCTTTTTTTTATCTAATATTTCAAATAAGAAATTTTAAATAAAAACAATTGAAAAAGTTTTATATGAAATCAATTAGCTTCACAAATAAATTTATAGGTTAGAGTGGTTGTTAACCAACGCAGGTATAAATTCGATCTAAAATTATACAAAATACTCACTTCAATTCCGCACTGAATTTACAAAATGTGTAGTTTTTTACATTTTTAAAATGCACACTTCAAAACTCTTCAAACACAATAATAACATGAACTTACAAATTCTAATCAACGACTCTTTTTCCTGCTCCCTATTAAATTATATGTGTATCGAAACAAACTAAAAAAATATTTACAGAAAAACAAAAGTTTTATGACTTTTATTATTTTTATGCTAGTGAGAACCAAAACAATATGGAAATGAATGAGGGAAAACTGGATCCTACCACGTGATTTCCCGGCCAATAAAAATGTAGTGTTAAACGTTCAACGCTTTCTTGTTGGAAGTCGCATAAGAAGTATAACTTTTAAGAAGTAGAATTTTTCCCACTCAATAAAAAATTAATTAAAAAAACAATTGAAATTGGACCGAATTGTGAATCTAAACCATTCTCGAATCCTTCTGAAGGTACACAGAAAATTTCATTTAAATCGGTCCAGCCGTTTAGGAGGAGTTCAGTGACAAACACACG